TATGTATATGTATATGTATATGTATATGTATATGTATATGTATATGTATATGTGTGTGTGTGTATTTTAACTTTTTCCTTAAGTGATTATTCTAGAGATTACACTTAACATCTTGAATACTTATTTTCAGTGTATACAAACACTTTCAATAGCATACAAATATAATTAAATATTACTTAGCCTAAAAGAATGCAGTACTGAAATACATGTTACATTGTGTATGAACTTCAAAAACATTTTGAATGAGGCCAAACACAAAAAGTTACATATTGTATGATTCTGTTCATATGAAATATGCAGAATAGTAATAATCAATTAGACAAATCAATAAGACAGAAATCACATTAGTGGTTGCCAAGGAGTAGGGGGAAGGAAAAGGGGGAGTGACTGTTTAACGGACACAAAAGTTTTCTTCTGAGTTGATGAAAATGTTTCTAACTAGATAGAGATGACAGTCACACAACAATGTGAATATACTAATACCACTGAATTGTAGACCAAAACAGTTATTTTATTATCTGAATTTTATTTCCATAAAAAACTAAATATCAGAACAATACAGAAACAGGTACTAAATTAAGCTCAGTAAAATTTAAGTAAATGGCATGGCTAAGGACAGATCATTATAGGTGAGTGAGTGGGAGAAACAATATGAAGTTGAAAGCCTAAAATAAAAATACTATGAACACTGATAAACTGTAGGACAATGAAACAACTGGTAGGTATTAGGAAAAGTGGATCAAAAACTAAGAGATCCAAATATTAAAATCAAAATATGAATAGTAGCACTCAACTGAGGAACCTGGACTATATGGAGGTGAATGAGACAAACAGTATTTTAGAAAGATGAGTACAGCAGTTGGGAAGTCCAGCAAGGACTTAATAAGTAGAACCAGAGTAATCATGTAAAAGGTTGTTGCTATAATCAGGGAATTATAAAAAGAAAACACATTTACAGTATTATACATATATTTATTGAAAAAAAGTCCACATAGAAGTGGATGTGCACCTTGTGGAAAGTGAGAAGAAACAAGATAGGCTTAAAAAAAAATTTTTTTTTAATGTTTACTTATTTATTTATTTAGAGAGAGAGTATGAGCAGGGGAGGGGCAGACAGAGAGATACTAAAAGAGAGAATCTAAAGCAAGCTCTGGTGCCACCAGCACAGAGCCAGATGCGGGGCTCAAACCCACGAACTGTGAGAACATGACCTGAGCTGAAGCCAAGATTCGTACACTCAACTGACTGGGACACCCAGGCACCCCAGCGATAGATATTAATAAGAAATTAAAAAGTTATAATTTGATAACCCACTGTATATGTGAAATGACTGAGAGATCTATTTCTAAGAACTCAAAAACTATCAATGAGAAGGAAAACGGAAAGATATTCTTGGAAAATTTTTCTAAGAATTCAAGAATTACAAATAAAAGGAACAATGGGAAGTGGATTTATTTGTGGAAGAAAGCTTGGTTTGGTGTTGAAAAACTTCAGATTCTGCGGCTACCAAGAAACACCAAGTGCAAAGGTATATTAAATATTAAGAGATCTGGACTTGCATATTACATGAGAATATGAGAGTCAAAATCTCATGTTCTAAAAACACAAAATGAGAAACAATGAAATCACTTTTTAAAATCTTCAAACATTTTAAATTTCTAATTGAAAATTCTCAACAGTATTAGTAAAATAAAGTTTAGTCATTAAACAACACTACTACTATTAGAAAGACCTGCTAAAGGAAGAAAGAGGACTAGTATTGTTCTAAATTACAAAATTACTACAAAGATCTTATTTAAAAAAAGTCTAACTTCAAAAAAAATTAACAATATAAAACCAAGAAAAAGACCTTTTAGGCTGAGAAATATAATACATAAATTCTAGTCACTTTTGGATGCAATTTATAACTAGAAAACAGTCACTTTTCATGGACCACTTTGCCGTCATTTGTTTGCTTGTTTTTAATGTTTATTTCTTTGTTTTTGAGAGAGAGAAAAGAGAGCACACACATAGGGAAGGGGCAGAGAGAGGAAGAGAATCTCAAGCAGGTTCTGTGTCCCCAGCATGGGGACCAAGCCCATGAACCTAGAGATCATGACCTGAGCCGAAATCATGAGTCAGACACTTACATGACTGAGCCCCCCCAGGCGCCCACCTCATTTGTACAATAAACCTCTGTAAGTGGTTTGCAAACTCATCATCTATAGACTATGCTCCAATTTCAGAAAAGCCTAATAGAAACCATACATTTACCTACAACAGAATGAATGTACTGATAAAAATTTCCAATTTCTTAGTTTTGGAATAAAATGAATTACTACAGCATGTTATCATGTGTTCATTTCAGTCAATTAGAAGCTCTGGCACTGCATGTTAATATATAGTTATATTTAATAAAAAATGAAATAGCAATTATTAAGAAATATAAATTAACTAACATCTTTATAACATATGATCTGTGGCAGGAAGTGGATTAATATAAACAGAATCACTTACAATAAATATTATTTGGTACTTATGCCATGCTAGATACTACCAGCCTTTCTTCAGTGACTAAAAAATATTTAAAAACCACTAAGATAGGTTTGAAGCTCTATTATGGGTTGAACTGTGTATATGTGCCTCAGAAGTTCATACATTGAAGTCTGAACTCCCAAGTATCTCATAATGTGACTCAATTTGGAAATATGGTCTTTAAAAAGGTTATTAGTTAAGATAAGGTCATACTGGGGTAGGGTGGGCCCCAATCCAAAACAACCGGTTTCTTTGTAAAAAGGGGAAATTTGGGCACACACAGGTAAACTGCAATGTGAAGACAAAGCCAGTGATCAGGATGAAGCTTCTACAAAGCAAGGATGCCAAAGACTGTCAGTAAACCATCAGAAGCTAGAGGAGACACATGGAAGAGATTCTCTCTTACAGACCTCAGATAGAACCAATTCTTCCAACACCTTGATCATAGACTTTTAACCTCCAGAACTATGAGACAATACATTTGTTGCTTAAGCCACCAGTTTATGGTACTTTTTTATGGCAGCCTTAGGAAACTAATGGAGACTACTTTTACTTCTAATATTTGGAAAATGTGCCCTCAAAAATAAGTTATAGAAATAATGACACGAGTATACAATTCAAGTCAGTATACAAACCTGTAGTTCAGTAATAACTGTTTTATGTCTCTTGTTGCATTCAATCTTTTCCACTCGTGTTTTCAATTCTGCCAAAGTCTTATCAAATACAGCACACTGTAGCGCACACAATTTTTCTTCTAGCAACCACTGTACAACCTAAAGAGATACACATTTCTTTGTTACAGCAAAGAAGGCATTTCAGCAAGCAGCAAACTGTACATATTCTTATGTACTAATAAGACGGTACTGATGGTATTGATTAGTTTAATGAAAAACATGCTGGCATTCATGACACAATGTCATCTGCTGAAAGCCTGCACTTCTACAGATGTAATATCTGCTATGATAGAATTATACTAAAAATAGAAAATTTCGAGAGGGTGAAATTTTATAAATAAGTTTAAACTGAAGTTTTAATATTTATTTCTTGTATCTTCTACTGTGATTCAAAGAAAATCAATTAAAGGAAAGGACCAGTTTTTAAAATTTCTAATCTGTTGCAGATGATAATTTTTGAGACAGTAAGAACGTCACTGCACTATGAAATTTCTATAAAATATTTCTGAATGCCTACTCACAATTTACATATTTATCTTATTTTGGATCCATAACAAATAGAATAATACATAGTGCATGTCCACGGCCCATACTTGAGTAATACTGTTGCAGAGGAGTAAACTCTCAGTACACAGAAGTTTCAAATAGAAGTTTCAAAATTCTTTCACATGCCTATCTTCATATTTGTAACAAGGCTATAAAAAAGACTAAGTAAGCATTATTAGTTCCATATGACAAATTTAAAAGTTGGAAGGGAAAAAAAGCTACTTTTTACTGCCTCACTATTCTTTTTTCAATGTGTATATTTATACTATATTTTAATGGAAGGACATTAGTCTAAAACCTGGATTAGTTATAATTTCATCATTAAATTTACAAGACCTTAAAAAATTAATTTCAGCTGAGTTTCATATTCTTCTTTAAAAGGCAGTTTTCATACATATCTGTTAACACATTTTGAAAAATATATCGAATGCTATGTATTTTCAGTATTTCTAACTCTAGCTTCATAGATTTGGCTGACGTTTCATAAGTCCACATTTTAAATACTCTCTTTCCCTAGTCATTCTAAAGCTCTGTCCCTATCATTTTTAATACTAAGCCTAAAGTACATAACAAAGACTTAAATACAGGAACTTATAACCATGAAACCAGCTTGTAACAAAGATTAAAATGTTAACATATAAGACTCTAATATTTCCACTAGAATAAAGTTCAATATAGAAGAAAAAATAAAATCTTAAAAAATCAGAAAGTTTTTTAAATTATTGAGAATAATAAGCTCAACTATTTTTGTCAAGTTCTCTCTATGAAAAACCCAAATATACCAATAAAATACAGAATAATGTCAAAAACCTAATAGAATCAAAATAGTCATGTTTTTTATTTAATACGGTTTTTGATTTATAATCTGTAACACCTTTTGTAGCTTCTGGTTAATATCTCCCTTGGCTGTAATCTTCACTTGAAATTCTGCCTCATATTCTTCTTCCATGTATCGACGACGTTTGGACTGTACATTATCCATGTCCTCTGACTTAGAACGCTTTCTTCTGGAAAATTCACCTGAGAACAAAAAGCATAATGATTAATCAGGTTTTTATTATAGACCTTAATGCCTCTTCTCCACTCTCAGCAAAGTATTATTCCTACCTATCACAACAATACCATTCTCAATCAGTTATTTTATGAATTGTTTTTGAGATTAGAAAAGTGTGGTAAGGGCACCTCGTGGCTAAGTTGGTTAAGCATCTGACTCTTGATTTTGGCTCAGGTCATGATCTCACTGTTCTTGAGATCTGTCCCTCTCTGCTCCTCTCCAGCTTGCACACATTCTCTCTCTCTTTCTCAAAATAAATACACTTAAAAAAAAAAAGTGAGTAGGTAGCTTCTTTGCTCTGAGCTTCAAATGATTTTCAATATACTAAACAAGAACTTCTTAAAGGCCGAGCAATGGACAATATAAACATAAATATTGTTTCCTTGAGAATCACCTAAAATATGAATATGATATGATATGAGAAATCAGCTCATATTCATTCCCTTTCCTAAACTTTATAGTGCACATGAATCCTTTGACAAAATATATTACTCATTCTCATGTCGCAGGTTTCTAATAACTGTGCATAGCTTTAATTATTTAATTCTTCCTTTTCAGTATATTTTTTTCTCAGTAAATTTAGAAAAAAATTCTTAATCATTAGCTTTAGAAAAATAACATAAGAATAGTTATTCTTAATATATTCTAATGAATGTCAACTAAATAAAAATAAAATTAATGTCATTATAAAAGTCAATTTGGTGAAGATATTCAAAGATCTTCATTTAAAAATTTTATATTTCATATATTGGTAACATTCATGAGATCATAAGCAAATTTTATTACCTGGTTTCTTTTTCAACACATAAAAAGTAAAAATACTAAACTCTCCACTTATTAAATGGAAATGTCCTTATGTAACCATAACTATCCCTCTTCACTTTTCTCTATATCCATATAACTATGTGCCTACTCTTAAAATCCAATTCTCTTCTATAACTTCTCTTGTAATCATAACTTATATGTCATACATGGAAACCAGAATGACAGGGAAAGATACAGAACCTAGGTATCCTGACTTCTAACCCCATGATAATCTTATAAACCTAATGACACCCCATTCAATCAATTCCCCATCCCATGAAGCTTAAGTACCTTAAGGAGACTAAGATACATAATTTCATTTGTTTATATTACTCCTGAGAAAATTATTAGTCCCATGCTCTAAATATAAATCTTACCCAATTTATCTCAAGACATTCAGATAGTACTTTACTAAATATTAAGCTTAAATCCTTCTTATGGAACAATGAAAAGTATAAATAAAACACTGAAGTATATGAAATAATACTTTCAAAAATCCTTGGGTTAGCTCTCAAGAAAATGATTGAACTGTGTTTCACTTAAACTAAAAACATTTTTTAAGTCATCTCATGGAAATCAAAGTATATTTCAGAGCCTTAAAAGAAGAAACATTGAATTACTATTTTTTTAAAACAGCTCAAGTTTTTTGTACATGCTTACTTTTCTCAGAAGGTCTTTCATCTTCATTTATTACTTGCTCTTCTTCCTCAGGTTTGCTGTCCTTTTCGTTAGTTTCTACTTCTGCTATAACAAAAATAAAAAAGGAAATCTTACTTACATTGGCATTCATAGCAGCTCATTGTAATTTACACTTTGGTATTAACTATCCTGTCAATAAACTTTTATAAAATCAGTCTTGGGGTGCCTGAGTGGCTCAGTCGGTTGAACGTCTGACTTTGGCTTGGGTCGTGATCTCATAGTTTATGGGTTCGAGCCTTGCATCAGGCTCTGTGCTGACCACTTGCTTAGAGCCTGGAGCCTGCTTCGGATTCTGTGTCTCCTTCTCTCTCTGCCCCTCCCCCGCTCATGCTTTGTCTCACTCTGTTTCTCAAAAATAAATAAATGTAAAAAAAAATTGTTTTTTAATAAAATAAAATCGGTCTCAAAATGTGACATTTTAGGAATAAAAAGAGAGCACAGAATGACCAAGTCCACTTTTAAAAGCTCTTAATGTGGAAGAAAATTCACACTATAGATTTTAAAACAAAGAATTGACTTAGTAATTTACTGTCGACGGCAGATTAATAAAATGTGAAAACTATTATAAAGCATTTAGACTCCATTACATTCAATTATTAAAACTAAAGTACTGTAGTAGTTGTGACAATTACAAAAAAAATTACAAAGTACTGGCAAATTCAAAACACCTAAAATTTTAATGAGACAAATTAAATCATTAAGTTATTTTAATGGATATGAGATAGTTTATAAAATGGAAATGGAAAAACTACCCTAAAGATAAAGAAAGCTTAATTTAATTGATGCCAGTGCCAACAACTGAGTTAAGTGCATGACATACATTACTTCATATCCTTAGTATAATCCTATACATTATTTCTGCCATCATATAGATGAGAAAAGTCCAATGTACAAAAAGGTAAATTTTCATAAGGCATATAATAAAATATAACTAAAGAATGCTACCAAAAAATACTGCTAAAAATGTCTATACAATTGCATTATTAACACAAATAAAATCCCAGAGGTACCAGAAGGGTCTTTAGTAAATCAATCTATATCTCCTCAATTAACATAAACATCAAATGGGGGAGAAGAACAATTCACTAACATGTCTGGGTTTCTATTTTTCCTCCTTACATCACTGCAACTGGCTCCCCAGTGGTTTCAATAATGCATGGTGTTTCCTCATATTCTGCAACCAAAATTAAATAAGTAATCACAAGAAATATAGCATTATATAAACATTTTGATATGGCATTTCTTCTCCAAACAGCAAAGTTTAAATCCCAACAACCTGATGGTAGAAGTCAAGGCTAAAATGACTGAAAAGACCTTTTAGGTGAAAACAGGATCATTGATGAACCTATTAATAAGACCCTTAAGAATATTTTTTTCACGCTAAGGTAAAACAATAAAGCTGTAAACCATGACTATAGTCAAAACAAAACAGTTAACAGAGCACATAAAGATTATTAAGACTATTTTTTTAAGTAAGCTCCATGCCCAACATGGGGCTTGAACTCATGACCCTGAGATCAAAAATCACATGCTCTACCCACTGAGCCAGCCAGGTGCCCCTACTAAACCAATTTATAAACTTTATTTTTTTTTTTTTTAATTTTTTTTTTTCAACATTTATTTATTTTTGGGACAGAGAGAGACAGAGCATGAACGGGGGAGGGGCAGAGAGAGAGGGAGACACAGAATTGGAAACAGGCTCCAGGCTCTGAGCCATCAGCCCAGAGCCCGACGCGGGGCTCGAACTCACGGACCGCGAGATCGTGACCTGGCTGAAGTCGGACGCTTAACCGACTGCGCCACCCAGGCGCCCCAATATAAACTTTAAAATAAATTTTAAAAAATAAAAAGCATTAGAAAATTAACTCTCCATTTACTATGCTCATTGGAAATATCTTAAGATCTTATCCTTCAACTCCAGTTTCAATGAAATGAAAATCTGTTTTGCTCCCTTATAGATCACAAACTCATTACAAAGCATTATTTTCCTATATATAGTTTTCCAAATCCTCCTGATTTTAATACTGAGGGTGGTGATTCTTGAATTTCTTAGTACCCAGTTTCCAGAGACACAGAGTAGCTGGACTGCTTGAGATGAAAGTTTATAGAGTCTTTATTTTCCAAATTATGATACCACTCAAAAAACAAATTTCACTTTTATCAATAATGCCACATTTTGCTGATATGCTCTGTGAAGTTGAGAATCTTTATGTTTATTGGCTATTTGCATTTCCTTTTCTATAAATTGCCTGTTCATCAATGTCACTTCGCTAATAACAATTAGGAAGGGATGCTGGAAGATGAAAATCAAAATTCAACTAAAGAGTAATTAGGAAAAGGAAAATATAGTGTTAGCCTATTACTGTAACTTGAAGAACGGCTCTGAAAGAGAGGAAAAAGATGGAACAGGAGCTAGAGAAAAAAGAGTCCATAACGTAAGAGTGAATGGAAGACAAACTATTATGTGTACCTCCTCTACTGCTGCCTGAACTTTTCCAGAGAGAAATTTTTATTTTCCTAGCCTTCTTAATAAACAGATTATGATTTTAGTCATCTGGTAAACATCAGTTATCATACAGTACTATGCAACAATATGACAGTGTCTTCAGGCCTACTCAGTATATCTGCAATACTTTTTAGGTCTTTCTTTTACTATTGTAAAATTAAAATGGTTTTCTATTTGCTTTCTGGTATCTTTCATTATTTTTTGTTGCTGCTCATAGCCATCATAACTGCTATATTTAAGACAAATTTGCTAAAGTGCCTGAAATGACAGAGGTTTATATTTTCCTGTTAGTACAGCAAATAAACATTAGTAGCTAGAGGGAAGAGCCAGAGTTCAGTACTTCAATTTATAACTCTGTTCTGAAAACATTAAAAATTAGTCAAGAATTGAAAAATGAAAGTAATACCTCAGAAGGTACAAAGCAACAAAAATGACATGTGCTACAGTCCCTCCTCATTTGCAGGGGCTATGTTCCAAGACCCCCAGTGAGGGTCTGAAACCATGGATAGAACTGAACCCTATACATTTTTTTCCTACACATACACACCTATGATAAAATTTAATTTATAAATCAGGTACAGGAGATTAACAACAGTAACTAAAAATAATTATAATAGCATACACTATTATATATAACATATAATATATAGTATATAACATATATAATTATATATTGTATATAAGTATACATATGTGTGTGTGTGTATATATATATATATATATATATATATATAAAATGGTCTCTCTCAAAATATCCTATTGTTATGTACACAGTTCTTGTGATGATGTGAAATGATAAAATACCCATGTGATGAGAGGAAGTGAGGTGAAATATATATATATATAATTTTATATATATAATATATAGTATGCTATATATTATATATAATAGTAATAAATTATATAAATATGGTCTCTCTTGAAATATCTTATTGTTCTGCACACAGTTCTTGTGATGATGTGAAATGATAAAATACCTATGTGATGAGATGAAGTGAGGTGAATGACATAGGCATTACCATCTAGATTTCGAATACCCCTGACCCAGAAAGTCAATACTAAAGACAGTAAGTCAGAAGAAGAATCATCTGCTGCCAGACCATGGTTGACTGTGGGTAACTAAAACTGCAAAAACTGAAACCATGCAAAATGAAACCATTGATAAAAGGGGACTACTGTAACTACCATAACAGATTCCACTACCATGTAAAGAGAACAGAGCACAGTTTTAAGACCAATGAAGAAAATATACTTCAACGTACTATACACAAAATTTCCTTGGGGGATTGGGGAAGGGAAGACAGGAAATAAAAGTTTACTTATCAGCTAAGAAATTAAATCTATCACTACACTTACTCTGCTAATAGCACAAAATCAGATAAAAGTCTAAAAGTAAATAACCACATTGATGGCTTAATAGTCATGTCCTGGCATTTAACAGCATTGAGTGGGAAGGAGGGTTCCCAATATCAAGTCGTGACATAAAGGTAAAATGTATAAACTCATGAAATAATAATATGCAATTTGCTATGACTTTCTTATATAGTCTACCAAAAGGTGGTTTAAGGACTTGCCCTAATACCACTCTCTCTATAAACAGTTCTTACTGAATGAATGAGTTAAGGTCACCCTAAACATGGTTACTTATCTTTCCAAAATGTAAACCTCATCATATCATTCTCCTCTGCTTGAAATCATTCGATGGCTCCGCAGTACTGTTAGAATGTGTTAGCATTGTAACCAAGGTCTTCCATAATACACTTCTCTTATATTACCAATTATTCATTCACTCCACAAATATTCACTGAGCACTGACCCAAGCATTATTTTGACCTGATGACGGTGGCTCAGAGCAAGGGGGACAGTAGTGGATGATAACAGACTGGATTCTACATCTATTCTGAAGGTAGAGGCAATAGGATTTCCTGATGGACTGATGGGATATGGAATACAGAGAAAAACAAGAATGGCTCCAAGATTTTTGGCCTGAGCAAGTAGGATGGACATGCAATTAAGAGGGATTATCTTCACTAAAACCCTATATTATGCAGACAATGAAAGGAAAGTGCTTTCCTGAATACATTTATGTTTTTATAAAGTTACCCTTCTATAAACTCCCAGAATACCAATTTAACATTATTAACTGTATTCACAGCCTTTATTTAATGTCCTGTGATTGAATTCTTGTCTGCATCCTAAAGGCAAGTACTAAATTTTATCTTTAAATCCCCAGAACCAAGAAGAGCTTGGCCTGTCTCTCTAGACAGCTTTAATAAATGAATAAATACTCTTTGGAAATGAAGTCATCTTTTAATAACAAAAAAAATCTCTACCTCCAAAAATTGGTATGATCTATTGGGGAAAAAAACATCCCCTGAGTCTCCTAGGCCTCTTTTTCTTCTTTTGAACAAACTAGAAACCAAATGCTGTGTTTAATGCTACAAGGTCACTCCTCTCACAGAGTTCTAAGGCAAAGAGAAGGACATAAAGGTATTCATGCCACTCTGAAAAGAACTGAGAAGTTTCAAACGGAAGTGATATTTGAGTTTGACCATGAAAGCAAATATAGGATTTTTCTCATTCTTTCCTTTTTCTCTAGGAATAATAAAAGAGATGGAAAGATAGGCTTTGAACAAATTATGAAGCTTATATACTTACATATAAAGGGTTTGGAATTAACCTAAAAGTAACAGGGACCCAATGAAAGAGAAGAACAAAATCAAATAAAAGACTTAAGTTACAGAGAGATCATTCAGAAGATGCAGAGAAAGAGAGTAAGTTGGTAGAATCAAGAGGGCTCAGAAAGCAAACAGATGAAGCCTTTATCAAATAGATTATCAGGCTTCAAGGTTTCTGGATTTTAGCAATGGTGTTGTTTTTCAGACAAAGAATACTAAAAATGGGAAAATTAATTGTAAAAGGTGATTTGTTATACTCGAAGCAAACAAATTAATCCACTCTAAGTTACTTGGTTGCTAAGTGATAGGAAAACCAATTGTTAGGACTTTGATCAATTATGTACTGACTTAAAACTGTTATCTCACAGTATTATATTGGTCCATCTCATCTCTTTATTCCTAGACAATAGGCCCCTTAAGGGCAAGAGCCATATTTTCCCGTTATTTTACCTCCCTTCTTGTCACTTCACATAATATTGCTCTCAGAGTAGATACTTTGTAAATCTAAATTCTGTTAAGAATCTATGAAGTTAAGAGATCATTCCAGTCACCATCATTCTCAACTTTCTCAGCAACTAAAAAAAATTTTTAACTTTGTAAAACTGCTTTATTAAGCAGTTTATCAAACCTAATCAAAATCTTTATAAAACTTAAGTAATATGCTAACCTGGAGAGCATGTTTCATTTTGTGGTACAACTTCAGACTCCTCTTTTTCACCAGAAATATCCTCCTCATCAGAAAGGACCAAAAAGGCTTCTTTTGGCAAACTCTCACTACTTTCTTGTTTGGATGGTGAACCAAAAGAACCTTCCATCTTCTCTTCCAAATCTGGATTTGTCTCATCAATTGGAAGAAGAGAAGTTTTAGAAAAGCAAGTAAGTTCATCCTCGGCAGGTGCAAGCTTTTCCAAAATAGGAATAATTTCATCTGTCTCCATAGAATCTGTGTTTTCCAAGATAATCTCATTTTTCTCATCTTTTGTAACATTTTCACTAATGGTTTCTGAAAGGTCTGCAGAATTTTCATTTTCATTCTTTTCACTTTGGTCAATTTCCATACTGCTAGATATAGCCTCCTCTCCAAGAGCAGGTTCTGTGACAGTATCTTCCTTTACCTTCTTTTCATTTTCAGGAGGTAGATCTGAACAAATAACTGTATCATCTGTTTCTAGAGTTTCTTCATTGCCATCAACATTACTATCAGCCTTATTTTTCTCGTCAAATGAGAAAATTTGGTCTAACTTTTCATCATCACTATTTTTCTCAAGAAAATCACCACCTTTATTGCTACTAGGCTCTGTAATGTCAGTTTCAGGAACAGATTCACACACTGGTACAGAACTTGGTTCAAAGGTAGGATCAAAGGCTGATTCAGAAGTCAGTTCATCAGAAGTGGGTTCGTCAGAGGGCAGATCACCAGAAGCTGGATCACCAGAGGCTGGATCACCAGAAGCCGGATCACTAGAGGCAGGATCATCAGAGGCCAGGGCTTCGGAGGACAGATCACCAGAGGCTGAATCATCAGAGGCCGGATCACTAGATACTGGCTCAGCAGAGACTGATTCACCAGGGACTGATTCACCAGAGACCAAGTCACCAGAGAATGGTTCACTGGAGACTGTTTCACCAGAGACTATTCCACCAGAGGTGGGATCGCCAGAGGTGAGATCACCAGAGGTGGGATCACCAGAAGTGGGATCGCCACAGGCAGGATCACCAGAGGTTAGTACTTCAGAGGCCAGATCTTCAGGGGCTGAATCTCCAGCAGCTGGATCTCCCATAGCCAGATCACCAGAGGCTGGCTCATCAGAAGATGGTTCAGCAGCCAGTTTACAGACTAGTTCAGGAGCTATATTATTAGGAGACAAAGGTTCATGCTTTAAATCATCATCCTGCTTATTTTTTACATTAACATTTAAGGTACAGGAGGTTTCTTTCCATTCTGATTTACTTTTTTCAGGGTCAAAACAAAGCTCTTCAATGCCATTCACCTCCTCCTTGTCAATAATATAATCCATATTTTCCAAAGGTGAAGTTGGGTCCAAATCTCCATTTTCATGGTTGCCATTTAATAGCTTGACATCAGCTTTCAACAGTTCCTCTTTGACCTTGTACACTGCTTCAAGCTGCTGACGATCACTCACTCTCATTGTTTTTCGAGCCTTGAAGACTTTTTTCTGAGGTTCTTCTATACTATCCATTTTGAATCTTTAAAAAGAGAAAGAAAGAAAGTTTAATAATGAAAACAGAAGCCACCTAATCATAAGACAAATTGCAAATTGATCTTATAAGCAAGCAGCCTTTCATGTAATTTTGAAATAATGATATACAAAGCATAATAATCCCTGCTGTGTTAATTTTCGTATTAATTGGATTTATGTAATATAAAATTGATGACAGGTACAGTCCATAGAAGATCAATTATTAAGAAGCATTAGGAAAAAAACTGACTTGCTTTTTTGGGGGGACAGCAAAAGAGTAGGTCTTTGGAACCACCCCTGGAGCTGGAACTGTCATGTTCCCTCCTCTTCCACTTTCCATTGCAAACAATAATGACCATTCATACCATAAAAAAAAAAAAAAAAAAAAAAAGTAAAAGAAAAAAGTGACTAGTTTCTAGTTTTAATTCTTAGTAAGCTAATGGATTCAGAGTCTGGAGGAGATACATTAGCATAAAAAAAGTAAATGCAGTAAAAAAGTAGATGGAAAAAGAAAAGTGTAAGAGAATGAAAGCAGAGGAATGGGAAAGAGGTACAAAGATAAGGAAAAAGAGAAGAGAACTAAGGAACACAGGAGGAAAGATTACATTTGCAACCAGGCATATCTAGATTAACAGTACTATAAACATATTTACAAGAGATTATCATCAAAAATTTGCTAAGACAACTCACACAATAGGAAATATTTATAAATCATATATTTGCAAATATGTATCTAAGAGACCTGCATCTAAAAAATACTAAATACTATTACAACTGAATAACAACAAAAGTAACCCAACTTAAAAATGGACAAAGGAACTGAATAAACATTTCTCTAAAAGACATATAAATTGATGAGGCGCCTGGGTAGCTTGGTGGGTTAAGCGTCAGACTGCGCCTCAGGTCATGATCTCGCGGTCCATGGGTTTGAGACCCGCATCGGGCTCTGTGCTGACAGCTCGGAGCCTGGAGCCTGCTTCTGATTCTGCGTCTCCCTCTCTCTCTCTGCCCCACCCCCACTCACTCTCTGTCTTTCAAAAAATAAACTAAATAAACATTAAAACTTAAAAAATTAATTAATTAATTAATTAATTAAAGACATACAAATTGCCAATAGACAAACTGCCAATAAGCACTAAAAATGAAAAGATGCTCAATGTTATTAGTCATCAGAGAAATGTAAATCAAACTTCAATGACATAACACTTCACACATAGCAGGATGGCTATGAGAATAACAAGTATAGGTAAGAAGCAAACAAACTGAAACCCTCACACAATGCTGGTGGGGTTATAAAATGGTATAGCTGCTTTGGAAAACAGTCTGGCAGTTCCACATCATGTTAAACATTAATTGTTAATTTTCTATCTTTCCTCTTTTGTAATACACATAAAGCTATAAATTTCCCTTTTAACGTTGCTTTAGCTGCATCTCATATTTTGATGTGTCATATTTTCATTGTTGCTCTGTTAAAATATTCTCTAATTTCCACTGTGACTTATTATTTCACATGTGAGTTTCTCTAAAAGTAGTTAGAAGTTTCTTTAAAAAGTAATATGACTATGTGAAACTCCTTAAAAAAATACAAAGTTGGTCTCATACTGAAAAAAAACATCAAGCAATGTAGATTATGAGTCATGAAGCATTATGGCTTTATTCAGGCCCAACCAAGGTGTCCCTTTGATAAAAAATTAGAACCCTAAGCCCCAATACCTCAGAATGTGACCTTATTTAGATACAGGTAATCAAGTTAAAATAAGGTCATTAGGTGGGCCCTAATGATTGGTATCCTTATAAAAAGGGGAAATTTTCGATACAGATACACACACAGAGAGCCATGTAGAAATTGGAGTTAAGCTGTCACAAATCACAGGTAGGAGAGAGGTCTGGAATAGATCCTTCTTTAATTCCTAGTTCCTGCAGGGCCCTGGATCACCTTGATTTCAGACTTCTAGCCTCAGAACTATGAGACTATAAATTCCCTATTTAACAAAAGGGAGAAAAAAGAAACTTCAAGGAATGTGATTCACTGCAAAAACAGAATAGAGAGTGAAAATAAACACCAGATCATCAACAGACACAGACCATTCATTTGACAAAATTCAACACTGACTCAAAATTAAAATTCTCAGTGGCTCAGTTGGTTGAGCGTCTGACTTCAGCTCAGGTCACAATCTCGCAGTCCGTGAGTTCAAGCCCCGCGTCAGGCTCTGGGCTGATGGCTCAGAGCCTGGAGCCTGCTTCCGATTCTGTGTCTCCCTCTCTCTCTGCCCCTCCCCATTCATGCTCTGTCTCTCTCTGTTTCAAAAATAAATAAATGTTAAAAAAAATTTTTTTTAAATAAAAAAAATTAAAATTCTCAAAAAACTTAGAAGAAAACAAATATAATAAAAGTTATCTCTGTTTCCGATTCTGTGTCTCCCTCTCTCTCTGCCCCTCCCCCGTTCATGCTCTATCTCTCTCTGTCCCCAAAAAAATAAATAAACGTTGGGGGAAAAAAAAAAAAAAAACACCCTACAGATATCATAAATAACGGTGAAATAAGATCAGAACCAAAACAAGGATGTTCTCTAATACCATTTGTATGTTAACATCTAGCCAGTGCAGTAAGGCAAGCAAGAAAGAGTGCAAGGACTCGGTCCTGGAGAAAACAATGTAACCAGTTTCTAACGGAATAAAACAGAAGTCTTTTAAGGACTAAGATATACAGGAAGCAAGAATATTGCTTTCATACTGTATATTCATTTATCATCACCATTACCTGTAGGAATGATGGTAAGATACACTTGCTTTAGCTGGAGAGGGAGAAAAAAGCAGCCTCTGACATCTGGGAACTTACCTGACACTTACAACTAGATCTCATTATTATAAATTGACTTGATGCTTACAGCTAAGCCATGTTGTTCTCCTTCTGTACATAAAATCACCCAAATTAGACAAGGTCACTGTGCAACCCATGAAATATCAAACCTCTCCCTCTCTGAGAGTGATGCCTAATTTTTTTTTATCAACACTGCAACCTCTCCCTCTAAATGAGTGATGCCTAATTTTTTTTAATTACATCTTTATCCTAACTGTAGTCTGTCCTCCCTACAGAGATTTATTGAGATAACCAAGCATAGAATTGCCCCCACTTTTTTTTTTAACTTTTTTTAATGTTTATTTATTTTTGAGAGAGAGGGAGAGACAGAGAGCATGAGCAGGGGAGGGTCAGGGAATGGGAGACACAGAATCCAAAGCAGGCTCCAGGCTCTGAGCTGTCAGCACACAGCCGGGAGCGGGGCTTGAACCCTCAGACTGCAAGATCATGACCTGAGCCGAAGTCAGACACTTAACTGATTGAGCCACTCAGGCGCCCCAAATTGCCTCCACTTTTTGACAGCACCCAATCCAGAGTAAGGCTCTATTTCCTCAAACTCGCCCCCAAATAACCCAATCTCTACTACACTAAACCCAAATCCTATACTAGGTTTTTTTCTAATATCCCTTACCGATGTGCCTCACAGTTTCCCCAAGGATGAGCATTCTCCCTCACTGCAACAAGTAATAAATCCAACTTGTTCAATTACAGGTCTGATTCTGGTGTTCTATAGTTCTTCTGGCTGAAAGGCATAAAACAATGGCTTAGCCTATCTGCCAGAGCTCAATACAGCTTGAAAACCTACCACTTTTATTACAGTACTTCTAGATTGTGGTACGTTCTGCATTCATTTGTTCACTTTAAGCCAATTACTTATAATGTATTTCCTAGTCTTCCTAGACTTTTAATTATGGAACTCAGTAAAACTATTCAGGAAAATTACCTTTCAATTGAACAGAAGCTTTACTGCAAAATTATCATAGGCACTATTTTCAGGGTTATTCATTACAGTCTAACATTAAAACTTCAAGTTTTTTCCCCACCCACTATACATTCCGAACTCATACTAACTGGAAATTTTTCTGCAAAGAAGATACAATGCAAATTTTGTAATCACTTTTTCTTGCTGACTTCAAAGACAGAAAATAATTAAATTTATAACCTAAGGAGTATGGTTACTTTTTAAATATTTTTAGACCTGAGCTGCAATTCTTTTGGACTCTGACCTCATAATATCCACATTTGTCAGCTGTTACATGGATACCTGACAGTTATTGCGAGTTGCATTAAAAGCAAGCATTCCTCTAAAAAAATGTGTATTTTCATAATTTTCAGTAACCCCACTAAGAACATGAATTCTGCAGACAGAAGACATGGATTTGAATTCCAGCTCTCCCATGTGCTTACTATGTGACACAGGGCAAGTTTCCTAACATTGGTTTCAGCAATCTTAAAAAGGGCGTATCATTATCAGTACCTGCCACAGAGGTTGTAGTCATGATTAAATGAGATTCCATACATTAAGAACTTAGTAATTGTCTATGTATATACACAGTGTTTTTAGGCATAAACTAGAGAATCTGAGACAAATTTCTCAAATACTTCTGTTATTTTGTATACAGGTGAGAAATCCAACATGCAAACATGACATTTAAATTGCCACCACCAAATAACATTTAATAAAAATAAGTACACTCCACGCAAGCTGGCTTTTTACCAATTAAGTTGTCATTCAATTCAGTAATAATATAGTACTGTACAAAGAATTACAAAATAACTACCATCTATACCCACAAGGGAGCACACTACAGCCATTTACCAGATATTTTATGGGTTCTAAGTATAACGAAAAATAGACAAAGCATAAGGAAGTAGCATGAACCAGTTCAAACTAGTTCAACCATATCTGTGTAAACCAATCAGCAATAACTTTTTAAAAACGTATTTTGCATAAGCAAAGTATATTTAAGAAAGATACACATTTGAAAAGAGCGTGTTACCTGCAAACAAGTCTCCATGGCTGTACTACCGGAAGAATACATTTCTAAGGATCAGTTTAAATACCGTCATCTGGAATTGAAATGCCATTCACAAAACTATTCTACAAAAGAAAAACTACTTTTTTTAGATTGCAACACTAGAATCAT